TATTAACTTCTAACCAACTTAATCGCTCTTTTCATTCCTCCCTAACCATATGTTCGTTTGTTTTTTTATTTCTTAGGTATACATTGTCTGTCCACAAATTATTATTATTTTATTTATATTATTATTGTTTTATTATTATTATTTTATTAATATATATATACATATATATATTAAAATAATATTTTATAAACCTATAGAAGTTGCATTTTCATATCTCTTTCTATGACCTAAATTTTTTTAATAAAATTTGTTATATTCATCTTCACGTAACTTCTAAGAATTTTTTTAACTGTTGTCGTCTGTCGTGCTATTAAGCAGCGTCAATTTTCACAAATAAGAAAGAAACCTCCAGAAATTGAGAGAACTTGTATTTTATTCCCGCTATTACTTGTAAAAGTCCCCTAGCAAAAGAACGTAGTGTGCATACCGTTTAATTATTTAGCATAGAATTGCGTCAAGTACTATTGGAATGCTACTAGGTATCAACTTGGCTCGTACCTTCGTTGCTCCAATACGACCTTAAGCAACCATGAAAATTGCATTGCAGCGTGATTTCGTTCAGATACAAACCTAAAGTATAACGTAGACCTTAAAACACGCGCCGTAAACTTTGATTTGGTGTTGCCGATGTTGCAAGTTGATTTCTAAAGAATTCCTCAATTTTGTTATTATTATTATTATTATTGTAGTTGTTGTAGTTGTTGTGGTTGTTGTGGTTGTTGTTGTTGCTGTCTTGTCTTGCTTGTCTTATTTCATTTTATTATATGATATTTTTTTATAGTTTTTGTCTTATAAAATAATAGAAAAAGCACAAAAACTAAATCTAAAACGACAACGACAATGAGAACAAAAACAAAAACAAAAACGATAAATAAAATTTTAAGTTGGGTGCGGCGGTTAGGTTGGTGGCTGCGCATGCGCCGCTCGTTCATGATTTGGTAGGTTCTTCTTGGTTTACTCATTGGTGGGTATCACTTACGTTGCTTTTAGTATTTATGGTACTTTGGCTTGAATTTTACGAGTGAAATGTGAAGACGATTATAGGTTTTTATGTCTTACTTGAGATAACAGCAGAAAGAATAAGATGTGGGTATGTTGTTAACATACGTAGTAGTAGTAACCCACGTTTTATGTTGCCCGTGTGCGCCTAATAGTTTATGTATTTAATTTTTTTTTTCTTTTCGTTTTTTATATAAGATTTGAAACCTTTTGTTGGTAACTTAAGGTTTGATGACTCTATTTGTGAGCTTTTTTAAAATTTGCCTCTTATTTATGGTGGAAACAAGATTGTTGTAGACAATTCATATAGAAAGATATACATATATGTATGTATATGTATATTGAACATATACTTAAATATATATTATCAGTAAATATAGTAAACAAAGTGATATTAAATATGTTTATTTGGTATTTTCAGGGTAAAGCACGCGGTAATAGAACGGCAATTTATCTGCGATCAGTGTTTCAATCCCATCTTGAATCGCTTGGTAGTTCAGTACAAAAACATGCTGGCAAAGTATTATTTGTAGCTATACTAGTGCTAAGTACATTCTGCGTCGGTTTAAAAAGTGCACAGATACATTCTAAAGTGCATCAGCTGTGGATACAGGAGGGAGGACGGTTAGAATCTGAGTTAGCGTACACACAAAAAACGATAGGCGAGGATGAATCAACGACGCATCAGTTAATAATACAAACGGCACACGATCCGAATGCGTCAGTTTTGCACCCGCAGGCACTGTTAGCACATCTGGAGGTATTAAAGAAAGCGACTGCTGTAAAAATTCATATGTTCGATGCGGAATGGGGTTTGCGAGATATGTGTAATTCGCCGACAACGCCCAGCTTTGAAGGACCATATTTCATTGAGCAGATATTTAAGCATCTGATACCTTGTTCTATAATTACGCCACTAGATTGTTTTTGGGAAGGTAGTTTGTTGCTTGGACCAGAATTTCCAGTAGAAATACCGTAAGTTCTAAACATGTGAACATATAAAGTTTCTATGTAATCATCTCATAAGAATTTAATTTAAATTATTAATTGAATTTTTCTTATGTTTTTTTTTTCTCAGTTTCAGTTTTAGTGCCATGGACAAGCGCATGGATAAACGCATAATGTGGAGCACACTGAATCCATCAAGTTTAATGCAAACAATGAAGAAAGAAATGAGTGATAACATTTCATTTGATTTTGAAACAGTGGAACAGTATATGAAACGTGCAGCTATAACTTCTGGATACATAGAGAAGCCTTGTTTAAATCCTTTAAATCCACAATGTCCAGATACTGCACCTAATAAAAACAGCACTCAACCACCAGATGTGGGTTCTATTCTTACCGGCGGCTGTTACGGTTATGCCGCAAAATATATGCATTGGCCAGAAGAGCTTATAGTCGGTGGTGTTGAACGTAACCGTTCTGGTCATCTTAAAAAAGCAAAAGGTCTACAAACAGTGGTACAACTTTTAACGGAAAAGGAAATGTATGATTTATGGAAAGAAAATTATAAAGTACACCACATTGGTTGGACAAAGGAAAAGGCTGCTGAGGTTTTAAATGCTTGGCAACGTAATTTTTCAAAAGAGGTCGAAACTTTATTAACAAATTCCCGTGTTTCCAAAAGTTATGATATATATGTATTCTCATCAGCTACATTAGATGATATACTTGCAAAATTTTCCAATCCCAGTCCATTGAGCATACTTATTGGTGTAATTGCTACAGTTTTTTATGCTTTCTGTACACTAATACGTTGGAGAGATCCAGTAAAGGGCCAAAGTAGTGTTGGTGTTGCTGGTGTTCTCTTAATAGGATTCTCTACAGCTGCTGGATTAGGACTATGTGCATTGCTTGGTATAGTTTTCAATGCTGCCAGTACGCAAGTTGTACCATTTCTAGCACTTGGATTGGGTGTTGATCATATATTCATGTTGACTGCTGTTTATGCTGAAAGCAATCGAAAAGAACAAACCAAATATATATTAAAGAAGGCAGGACCTAGTGTTCTATTTAGTGCCAGTGTCACAGCCGGCTCCTTTTTTGCAGCCGTTTTTATACCAGTACCCGCATTAAAAGTGTTTTGTCTGCAAGCTGCTATTGTTATGTGTTTTAATTTGGCCGCGGTGCTTTTAGTTTTTCCTGCATTGATATCATTGGACTTACGACGACGTACTTCGGGTCGAGCTGATATATTTTGTTGTTGTTTTCCAATTTGGAAAGAAAAGCCCGTTGCTTCAACTTTTAACAATAACACTAGATACAGCAATCCACATAGCAGTAACACACTCAACAATCATAACGATCGTTCTACCAAAAGTGCAACCAATAGTCAGAGCATACAAAATCAACAACAAACACACCAGGAGGAAGCATTACTTTCATGTAATGAAAAACGTATTCCAAGTTTTTCATTATCAAAGTTCGCATTTAAATATTATACACCATTTTTAATGAAAAGTTGGATTAAATTTTTGGCGATCACAACGTTTGTGGGCACAGTAATTTTTAGTATATTCGTTACCACACGTCTTCAGGATGGTTTGGACCTAATTGATTTAGTACCAAAAAATACAAACGAATACAAATTTCTTAATGCCCAAAGTACTATGTTCGGTTTCTATAGCATGTATGCTGTGACTCAAGGTAATTTTGAGTATCCTACAAATCAACGCTTGTTGCAAGAATATCACGATGCTTTCGTACGAGTGCCACACGTAATCAAAAATGATAACGGAGGCTTACCTGATTTCTGGTTGTCTATGTTTCGTGATTGGCTTAACAATTTACAGCGCACATTTGATCGAGAGTTCAAAGATGGGCGACTTACGCAAGAGGGCTGGCACAGTAATGCCAGTAGTGATGCTATACTAGCCTATAAATTGCTAGTGCAAACGGGATATGTAGACAATCCAGTTGACAAAACCTTAGTAACACAAAACCGCTTAGTTGACAACGACAATATAATAAATCCCAAAGCTTTCTACAATTATTTGTCTGCTTGGGCAACAAATGACGTATTCGCTTATGGAGCCTCACAGGTATGTCTAAAAAAAATTTTATCTTCTACATATAATTTTAACATATGACTTTTTGTTTACAGGGAAAGCTTCATCCAGAACCTCGTCAGTATTATCATGTGCCTACTGAATATAATTTAAAAATACCTAAGAGCTTACCATTAGTTTATACTCAACTACCATTTTATTTGCATGGTTTGACTGATACATCTGAAATAAAAGCACTTATCGGGCATATTAGAGATTTAAGTGTGAAATTTGAAACACGTGGTTTACCCAATTATCCCTCAGGTTTGTTTTAAACAAAAATTAAGGGAAAATAAATATCTGTATTTATGTAAATTTTTTTGGTTGTTTATTAGGAATTCCATTTATATTTTGGGAACAATATATGACATTGCGTGCTTCACTCGGTCTGATACTATGCTGTTCAGTTATTGCTGCATTTTTTCTGGTCACTGTACTGTTGCTCTCAGCTTGGGCAGCTTTATTGGTGGTAGTTAATGTCGTTGCTTCTTTAGTGCAAATATTTGGCGCTATGACACTTTTAGGTATCAAACTATCAGCCATACCTGCAGTGATATTAATATTGAGTGTTGGAATGATTATTTGCTTTACGGTGCATATATCACTGGTAAGTACTACATACTTAATTACTTATTTAAAATTATGTAATAAAATTTGGATTACAAATATAATTTTTCAACGTAATATAATTTCACACAATGGGCCAATATGTCTATGTGGATCTTCATTCCTTATGGATCCAAATTCCTTTCTTGAATTAATACTATAGTTGTTGTTATTTTTAAAATGTCTAATAACAGAAAACATTTTTTTTAAATTATTTTTTCTTTTTCCTAA